AAACAACTCAGTAGTGCCTAAGGCATTGTTCTCCAAACTTGGCCACTTTAAAATGAGTGGACTTAAACTCCCAAAATTCCCCAGCCAGCCATGGGAGCTGGGAGTTGAAGTCCACTCATCTTAAAGTGGCCAAGTTTGGACAACACTGCCTTAGGCACTACTGAGTTGTTTCAAAGTGATTGAACAATTTAAACAAGAATTGAATGGCTCTCAGAGGGTACAAAATGTATGTTTTATTAAGAACTAAGACCTAGTACAGATTCTCCCAATGGTGTACCTTTCAAATGTGTTGGGATTTTAACTCCCAGAATTCCCAATTCATATGGCTGTTGGTATCAAGCCGAGAAAGGTGTCCTAGTGAAAAGCGTCTGCTTGGTTTCTATTCAACTTCAGCCATTTTTATACACCAAAAATACTTCAGTTGGGGCAGGGGGAAAAGGAAGTAGTGAAACAAAACCAAATGAAGAATGAGTCCAAGGTGTCCACCAACTTCAGTAGAGAAATAGATGTTGGTAATAAACCGTGGATTTAATTTAGATTAAATTCAGTGAGCAACAATTATATATGGTATGAATTGGTTAAGTCAGATATTTCAAGTTCTTGCTTCCTTTCTGTGCATATCTAATGCAACCAATATTGATCAACCGTAATTGGAAATTAATATTTGATGTTTGAGCTGCAGGTTTCAAAGGAGGCCTGTCATTTCATATTTTATTTTTAGAAATGCTTCTTTATGCTGTATATCTTATGAAGATCAGTTCCAACTTTTGGGTGCCTCATGCCAAACACTGCTTAATGAGCAGTCTAAATTTCCACCAGCTCAGATATCAAGGGTTTCAGTGGTTGGATTATGTGCCAGAGACATAGATTCTTATGAACTTCATATTCCTTCTGTTGGTTTAAACCAAGCCATCCCCAGCAGTCATTATTCAAGATGCCTTGGGAATTATACTGAAGTCTGATAGCCTGCCTGTGTGATATTAACAGGCCAGCTTTCCAAACCCAGAAGACCTGGCTATATAGTCAGTAATATAAAAAGATGCAGCGTTCTTGAACTCCGCAAGGTGTTTTAAATAAGCTATAAGCTCTTCCACATGCTTCAGTTCATCCCACAAATACACTTATGCTGACATACTTTGCCAAAGCATCAGGTTAGGATTTCACATGCCATAGCTTAGACAAAACTGAGACATAATCCCAGCCAAAGTATCTGGTAAAGAAGCATTTTCAAAACTTGTGTGGTTCCCTAGGAAGCCTTTCACATCTTGCCAGTTCCAAAAGCTAATCATTGGTAAGGCATCCTTGAGTTCTGCAAAGTGCACACACATCCAGCTGTCGGTCTCGGCCACAGACGTTCCAAATTGTTTGGGGGCAGAGAGAGGGGGAAATGTATCTGCAGCTCTTTAAAAAATGCTAAAAGATACTGACTTTTGACTTTTAAGGAGTTCAGAGTTATAGGACTTCTAAGCAAATCTCCCAGCTATTGGCCAATTAAAACTGCATCTGGACCCACTGCATCCTGTGACTGGCACAAAAAATATGACTAACTCCGTGTGTGTGTGTGTTTTTTAAATTAGGGCTGTGTTGCGGTTCAGATTCAGTTCATAGCTGCCATGCAATCCTGGGGAAAAGTGTAGTTGCTTTAAGGAGTTGCAAACAAATCGTTGGCTTATGTCCTTGCTTGCTGTGAAGTACCTCTTTGGAATCAAATCTGAAGCATTATCCAAGCCTACTATTCATACGACTGTGTTCCTAAATCTCATTCCTTCTGCTGAACTTGTGGTACCCGTATCTGTCTTCTCTTAACAGACAGAATATACTTTACAGTTTTCTGCTGCTGAGATCTCATGTGGGATGATTTTTTTTTCAAAAGGATCATTATATAGTCAGAAGATCAAGCTTTCAGAGGCATGTGATGAAATTTTATTTAGAAGGGCAAAACCTAAATGCCTGTTGCCATAAAATTGATTTCCACTTTTTAGTATGATTACAATTGTATATACCCACACAGTTGGGCATATTCTAAATGATTTTGCTATCACATTATTTTAGAATCTAAGTGTTAAATAATAGACTTCAGATGAAGTTATCAAACTTATAGCTAATCCTTATATTCTTCAGAACAAATCCATATATATCTTCGCCATCTCACTTGAGTTAATTTTCTTACTTTCAAGGCCACAACTTGGGAAAAAATGCAGTAGTTATGGAATGGAAGGATCCACTTTATCAAAGTTGTGATCCAGGAGCAAAAAAGAACAAGAATCCCCCTTGCAATTAGAACTTTGGCAGTTTTCTTGAAAGTTGAGAGGCTGGCCCAATTCTTCAAATCCTCAACCCAAATCCCATAAAAATTAGCAGCTGACTATTGCCAGGCAGGATGGCCTGAAGATATCCTGCTGAGTATAGTAGATCTAAACTGATTTAAATCCAGTAACTATGACACTGTGGTTTAATGTGACATACAAATGTCACTATGTCCATGTCACTTCAAATACTGAGTACATGTGGCATGATTAAAGTTGCATAGAATTAAAGCTTGTGTTTGTCTACCAATTTAAAGTTAATTTAAATTGGTGCATTCAAAGACCTTTTGACTTGCACTGTAAAAGTCAATTAAATTTCATCAACAGTTTGGATTTTTACACAAGTCTTTCACATCATTTCTGCAATAAACATAGTTGGTTATCAAAAGTATTCTCTTCTACATGGTGAAATGAGGTCCAGATCAACTATACAACCACTGTTTGTTCCTGATTTGGCTCGCTCAGTATTATGGCTCCCAACATTAACCAACTAGATGATAGGAAGTTCTCATCTCTGAGCATGCTGGTGATATACAGTCTCTATTCTTTCAGTATCTGGAAAGTGAGTATCATATCATCTTGAAACATACAAGTGTCCAACTCTAGCCAACATTATTAATTGGTTTCCTTACAGAAAGGTCAGTAATGTGCACATTTTGAAAAAGCTCTTTCCTTCCAAACTGTGTATTTCCCTCAAGTATCTCCTGATAAAGAATCAGTGGCATTTTGATCTTGCAGTATCATGTCTCCTGTAGAGGAAAACAGGAGGGGAAAAAACATGGACAATCTAGTATTCAAGGAACAGAATTTCCTGGTAGGTAGGCTTAGTTGCTACTGCTGAGCAAACTCACAACTTTAAGATAGATGGTTTGCTAGTCTCTGCTCTCCTAGAGAATTACTACTTGATCAATGTCAAAATGAGAAGAAAGGAAGTTATGCTTCAAGATAAAGAATGGATAAGCCCAAATTCTCAGAATATGAATTTATGCTACCAAGAGGATAACCTAGTTTATAATTTTACCGATCAGAAATTTAGTATCCGAAATATTTACTAATGCTATCAAATAACAGGGTGAACAGTTTCTTTTTCAACTGAAATATCAACTTTCACCATTCTCACATTTCTAAAAGGAGAAGTACCCCATTCTTACATCCTTAAATACAACTCATTCTTTGTTTTGTTAATAAATATATATTTGAGTTAGGGTATGTCCTCTATGCCTTTTGGGCTTCTAAGTTCTTGGTTGAATAGCTGTCTATTGCAGGAGTACCTAAGCAGATCAAGTTCATTACCCTCACAGAGAGGTACATTGCACGAAATGTTAAACATCAGTTCATAGGTTTGCAGAAGCACTTCCTTTTTAATTCAGTTTCAAAGGTCCAACAAATTATCATTTTTATTCCCATTCTTAGCACAGTAACTTCAATACATACATGGAACATTTGGCATCTCATTTTATCTTGGTAACATTCCTTGGCTTAGGTTCATAGCAACGATCCAGCAATCTAGAAAGTTCCTATGTGGGGAGTAGGTAGAATAGAGCTTATAGGCACCAATCTACTCCTGGGATCTTCCCTTCTGGTCACCAGGGCTCCCATTTCTCCTAATTTTAAAATATATTTTTATTACGAAATAAATTGAAAAAAGCATGCTGCAGTTCAAAGTGCCATCCAAGAACACCAGCTTTATCTCCAAGAATGCTTCTCTTTGTCCTCCCCACCCTTACACCATAAGCCTTACAGGCAGGCTTGAAAGGTGAAAATGATGAGTGCCTGGAATGTGGTATTTCATTTGTCAGTATGATTGCTATACCAAAAGAAAAAAGCTGGATTAGTAGAGAGCATTTTAGATGGGGTGGTAGGGATCAATCTCATCTGTTGTCTTCTCGTAAGCAGATATATTTATTAAATTTATATTTATTAAATGCATGTATTATGGCTGCTATATCCACCACAGGAACTATTTTCAGTATAGGCATATTTCTCCCGTGCTTGTCATTTTGTGACAGCCTCCACAAAATGCTTTTTAAATTCCACATATGCTGGTGGCCCCAAAATTTGGCTACCTCTGACCTTTGTGAATAAGAACATGTTATTTTCACTTCAGTGCTAATTCTTCAGTGGTTAACTTAGTATAGCATAATTCTCAGAACACTACATATCCTGTGAATCAACTGGGCCTTGCAATTCTACACAAGCTTCTGTGCAAGTAAATTGAGACGTATTCATTGTGTTTTTTTGGCAATAAAAACATGACCAATAGCTCTGAATCTGTTGATGGGCTCAGTGCCTTAAAAAATTACACAGGTGTCTTTTCCAAAATGGTTCAATATATTCAAAGATATAGACCAAAGATAAATTCAATAGATGTGTAAATATAGGGCATGTGGAAATAGGATTCTTACTGAAGTTATTCCTACCTTTCACTAACAGCAATGCATAACAGGGTGAATACCTATTTTGGCAGGGGCAGTTTTCAGACTGAAGGGGCAAGTACCCCGTCCAAAAGTGAACTGCGCATGCCAACAGTATCTTGGGAAACACACAACTGTCTTCCACTCATCTGAATATGATTGTACCAGCCAGCATAATTAACAGGCAGGTAACATGTAAAAACTGACTGGCAAAGAAAACTATTTAATTGGTGTCCCAGAAGAATTTACCAGATGTCTTCCCTTCAGTATACAACTATTATAAAAAATATATCCACTTTAAGTTGCTATAAAACACAAAGATAGCCCATACACACAAAAATATTTGTTTAATTGGAAACCATACATCAATCTGCACTGTTTGTAATATAGTGCAGGACTGTAAAACGAGGGTGTCTAAAGTCAGGCAACTGTTCCGAATAAGACCAGTTCTTTTAAAAAAATGAAGGAAAAAAAGAATCAGATCTCAAGAATCAGTTCACACTCTGTTAGGCACACCATTATGCATCTTTCTCCTCCTCTGATCTGACTAACCATCTTCTCTAGACTCTGCCATTAATATCACAGATACAAGTCATTTTGTAATTAGATCATAGTCTGGGGGAAGCAAAAGAAGTACAATTCCCATTTAGGATCACATCTCAACAAATTTCAACTGGAAGTGAATCTACTTCCCAACCCATTCAACATGGTTACTATTGTTACTATATGATGGGAGAAAGTTAGTTTGAGAGAAAAAAGAAAGATCATTATGGATGCTACCTTAACAGTCTCTAGTTCAAATAAAACCATTCCCTGCCTCATGTATGAGCAATGGATTACAAGCACATAACAGCTGTTGATGTTACTTCACATACATAAACCATGAGGTTGCTTCGAAACTAAATTCTTCCTTAAGATTTCAGAAGCATGAGAGGTTTTAAAGGCTGCATCCAAATTTGTCTGTTTTCTTAAACAGAAACCACACTCCAAAAAGCATCATTTGTAGGATGTCATTTGCCTATCATTCAACTCAGACTAAAAAACACCCCACAGTATCAACACGCTAAGAATTATTTTTAGGAGAATAAAATGTACAATAGCTACTTTAAGTAGCTAGCTGAACAAACACCACACATCACACAAGAAAAAGTCAACTGTCTGAATCAGTGTTTACTTGAGCAAAACCTTGTAAGGGTACACTATACTCAGTCTTATTTTAAAGAAGTTGATTAGATTTTTATACAACATAGCCCCTGTCAATTTAAAATAGACCCACTGAAGAATGGAATGAAGAGTTGGAAATGCAACATTTCAGAACCAGACTGTGTGTGTTTTCAACTTCTTTTCTGAGGAAGACCTCTCAGAATCTGTATCTTCAAACTCTGCTCTGTGCCTTTTCTGTCGTCCATGGTTTTGTGAGCCATCACTGTCTGCGGGATGCAATTCAGCAACCTCCTCTTTCATGCTCATGCTGTGACTGGAAGAGTCTGTTGCAGATAGGCAACATTCCTTGCGCAATGATGTGCATGTCTGCACAAAGCTGCCTTTATCAACACTTAAGTGTAATTGTCTTCCTTGAGCTTCCTGCTCTACAAAACTCTGTCCATTATTAAGGTAAGGAGAACGAGAGTGTAAGTGGCCATTATTGTAGTTTGTACAGGAATTATCAATGTTCCTATCCTCACTGTCATCCGTTTGGTTTCTAGAGAAATTTCCAGATCCATTACCATTGGCAGGAGTAGAAAATGAATCCTTAGAAACAGCCAGTGGGTTATGGCTGGATGTTGTTTGACAATTCTGGTTATTTTTCTGTTCCACAAATCCTGTAGGTTGATTGCATGACTCCTCAATGCAACTAACTCTTTCCTTGCAAATGGCTTTTCCATTGAGCTTCTTAGCTTCAAAAGAATGATCTACAGACCCACTACTCCCAGTATCTTGGGCTAGGGTTTCCTGATCTTCCACTGGTCGTTGATTATCACATTCACGGTCTTGAATGTTTCTAGAAGTTTCTGCTGGGTTACGATCCTTGAAAATGTCTTTGTTATGGTTTTCAGCAGCAGCAGAATCTTGACTGCTAAGAGCTTTTCTACTAGTTCCTGGTCTTCCCTCACTTTCTCCACCTCCACATGAAGATTCACCATCTTTATTAGCTGTATAAGACATGTAAGAATAATGAAGCCAACGAAAAGCTTTATAGATCTTCCTATCTACCGATTCATTCTCTGAGCAAGGAAAAATCTTCTCTTTACGGACCTCTGTATTTCCAGCACTTCTTTCAGGGGATGAAGCTGGAGAAGGGGAGAGATCATCCACTTTGATTTGCGGATAATCATAAAGGTCTTCACCTATATAGGTACTTGTGTTTCCTGCATTTGCATTAGTCCTTTCTTCCTTTTGTGGCTTCTGTCTTTGTCTACGTCTCAGAGCATTGCGCTGCCTGGTTAAGGCACGTCGCTCATTCAATTCCTCATCATCTTCTGTGCTGCTGCTACTGCTGGAGCTGCTTGAATCATTCTCTTCAGGACTAGGGGACCTTGGTCTTGGGAAAAGATCAGCATCCAGCTCAGTCTCACAGGTGTTTTCATCAGAGTCAGACTCATTGGAAAGGGCTAGGAGGCGTCTGTCTTGATATCTCCTAAGTGCAGATAACCGTTGCTGACGAGAAGCCACAGCTTCTCTGGGTGATGGAGATTCAGTGGATCTCAAAGTTCCCAAGTTATAGGCAGGTTCATCAGATTCTTCTGTCATATGAGGTGGGGAATGACGGAGAGAAGTAGAGGACTCAGATTCACTATAGCCTGAGCGTTCACTTACTCCAGCATGGAACTGCAGGATAGTGCTTTCACTGAGGTCACTGTCGGAGTCAGAACTCCACCCCTCAATTTCCCGACGGACCAAGGAATCAAAGAAGGCCATCATTCGTGGGTCCTCTTGGACTGACTGATTGGCATAATCATGAGACAGGCCACTGCCACTGTTCAATACAAGATTAATGTACTCCTCATGTGTATAGAGACAACGTGAATCATCTTCAATTTTACCATCAAGATCTCCCGTACAACCAGGTTGTCGATAAGGGCTCCAAATCTATAAACAGAAAGAAAAAGTCACTTTATATCCTTGCCACATATTAAGACATTAAAACATTGAAATAAGCAACTTGTATATTTATATCATAATGATTTTAGAGAAATGGTACTGATGTGGTAGGCCTTCAAAGAACACTTATTTTTATTCCATTCCACAGGTACATTCAGATAAAAGATCTTTCCCCACCTGAACTGGAGGATTCACAACTCATAAAAATGCCCTAAGCCAGAAATGAAACACCAGACTGCAGTGCTCTATTTTTATGCAATAAGTGTTTACTGGGGGAGGTGGGGGTGGGGGAAGAGAGAATGCAGAAGGGATGGTTAAAAATGCTTAGCTGCTTTCTGTGTGAAAATCTAGGCACAAACCAAGACACTGGTTTCCCAGGAAACTAGCACTATTTGGATGAAGAAACATGCCATCATGTTTTATGAGACTCCTTGCAGTATTTTGTCAAGCAGTTGCGGACATTCCTATACTATGAGCTGAAAAATGAAAAATACTATAAGCTGAGAAATGTATTGGACACCTCTGTATTTTAGCTCCATTGCAAATGTCCCAGCAAAGTAAAGCATGTGACATTTCTAGTCACGTGTGTCAGTGTCAAAAGGAACAGGGAGTTGTTAGGATTTCCCTGCCCACTAAGAGTCTGATGAATATGCTTAGACTAGCACTATGCATTTTTATAATGAGACAAGCTAAACTACTGCTACCATTCTTTTGCATATGTAGAGCCACTACAATTCCTGAGTGTTATGCTCTTCACCTGACTGTACATAGCTATGCCTAAATAAGGGAATGAATTATACCTGTTGATGCATGTGCTACTCAGTCAACAGCAGCATGAAATATCTGTCTTTGCCGAAATAGTTGGGTACATGAGAGGTAAAAGCACACGGCTTGCTAATGGTAGACATGGTAGTAGTGCACAGATATGCAATGTTAAATATTTGTTTTTAAAAAACTGACAGTTCTGTGGCAGGCCTTGTCACCTTTCATCTGGTTCTTGATGAATTTATGGGCTATCATCTTGGGGAGAAGCAGGAGGATATGGCTATATAGCGTAGTAGCCTCCTACCCAAAACAAAGGCTAATGGAAACACTGTTCCATCATCCAAAACAAGCCATGGCAGGTGGTACTACCCCTGTTTTCTGGTACTACCCTTCCATGTTCACAACTATCCTTTCAGGAGATGCAGATGGACCATGCTCCATCACTCAGAATATAAACAGAACTTCATTAAAACATAGCTTAAAGCAAAATCAAATTGCTGCATGAGAATGTTTCTTTATGGATCCAACTCCTTCGGCTCTTCCCTACGCATTTATATTTAACATGCTCTCCCATAATGGTTATTATTTCCCAATTCTTTTTAGAGCATATATCCTATTCTTCTATTTTACTCATTTTAAGAAATCTTCATCAATTCTAGCAAGAAAGATGGATATCCATAAAGAAAGAAAAAGAAATCAGATTTTTCTGTGGTTTAACCAAAGCTGCCTTTGAAATCAGTAGTTACAAACTCAGACCAACACATATGTAGGCAAAATCCTTCTCTATACTTGCCACTGAGCACAAAACAGCAAAACAGACTTGAAAAGTCTAAAACAGATGCCCAAGCCTAAAAATTAAAAAAAATTAAAATATCAATCAATCAATAAAATGATTGATTATAATAGAGTAATTTTCTTTTGTTACTGTGTCTGTCAGGTAGCTGTTTTTGGAGAGATATCTGCTATTCCTTGAATGTATTCCTCCCAGAGATTTATATTTGAGCATAATAGCCTATATGGGCTGTAAGGGAAGAGGTTTGCTCAATAAGCAGCCTAATTCAGAAACCTATTACTCAAAAACTTCATTCCCTAGGAGAAAATACAGTTAGTTATGGTTTATTTCAGTAAAGTAACTGAGGAGCCAACCAGCCAACAGTACAGTACACTAAGGAATATCTGTAGGGCATCTATTGAATTAGAACCTATCTAATGTACACAAATATACATACATATCCACCCTTCATAGTTTGTTGGAGAATTTGTATTTATAGAATAATATCAAAACCTAGGTGGAGAAAATTTAGTAACTGTGCACCTTTCACTTTCATGGCTATTATAAAATAACACTGGAACTTTATATCCTTTCTTTCTTGCATTTTAATCCCAACTCACAAAACCCTCTTTAAAAATCTTAACTCAGGAAGTAGAATTTTATAGAGTACATGTACGACTTAGAATAGTTAAGTTACATTTGGTGTAGAACTTAGATTTTGCAATTGTTAATCAGAAATAAAGCCCAACATAGCATCTCCATTATGAATGAAATCCCCAAATTCCTTTTACATGCTAGAAGCAGTAAAATTGCTGCAAGTATTTATAATTAGAACTAATATGGTACATCAGATAATCCTCTACTGTAAAGCAGAGATAGATGGCCTATCTCTATAGTTATCTCCATAGAAACAAAGGTCTATGAGTGTTTTGATTCTCATTAAAATATAAATAAGCAATACCTTATTCTTTTTCCTTCTGTGCAGTTGACAAGTTGCCATTGGCATCAATATTCAGTTCAACACTGCCCTCCTGCTGTCAACCTGTTATAGACTTAACCAGTTTTTCTTAATAGATGAACTTCCTAATAGCAATCAACAGTCTTCAAGAAAAGTTCTCTATGGTCTTCTCTGCTGTTTGCTTCACACTACATTTTGTTTAAAAACTCTTCTCAAAAGACTGCCTTCCACTTACAGTTTTTTTTTAAATCCTCTTCTATCAAGCCAAACCAAATTTACTATTCAAAGTCAAACAGAACAGATTCTTAACTTTGTTTTCTTTCACATTAGACTGAAACAAACCAATATTAATATCCTGTCTAAAAAGAAACATAAGCACTAGATAGATTTGCTTAGGGAGAGATTATAAAAATTATGAAAGTTCCTGGTGTAAGTTAGATGTAGCTATATTTCTTTTCTTTTTTTTTAATCTCAGGTCCTTAATTTCTTTGGTCTAATATTTCTTATTCCTTTTCTGTGATCTACATAATATTACAGTACTTACTTTTTACAGATGAAAAGTCCAGAATGGGGGGGAGGGGGAAGCTTCACCTTTTGATCCTAGGTGATGGAGAATCTATAAGGCAATACCCTGCACTTGCCTGCATTATACCAGATTGGTATAGAAATTTGAGAGTTGATAATCTGTAGCTGAGCTATTTTGGCTTTAAAGTGATTTTAGTGTCAAAATGCATAAGAACAAACCACAGATAAAAGAAAAACAAAACAAGATAGCTTTATAATAAAGGTTCTTTCACAGAGTTAATTGGAAGTTTATAAACAAGAAACATAGTCATGTTTCATCAGATACATGCTGGGAACCTACAGAAATTCTCTTTTCCAAAGTACTCAAACAGGATTATCTTGCAGACTTAGAGATTTGAGAGGACAGCCCCCAAATAGCAATAGAGCTGCAACAAAAGCAACAGAGGAGATTTTTGTGCACTAGTTCTTAATCTTTATATGCCATAGACAAAAGGGTGAGGGTCTGATGAAACCTATAGACTCCTTCTGAGAAAAATGGATTTAAATGCATACAATAAAATATAGTTTTATCCAGGAAATGAATTATGCTCGGATGTAGTTATCAAAATATTACAAAACAACAAATACGTAATATAGTAATCTGGGCTTCTTTATTAATCAGTTAAATCAATAACAAGACAATAGCCTTTTCAGGATATAATAATGTAGGCAGTGAGTTTTATTGAACTCCACAGTTTTGGAGTCTAGAAGCCTTAAATTACTCTGTTGCCTATATACATTACTGAATGAACAGCTAAATTTCAGTCAGAGGCTAATGAAAACAAAGTTGGAATCTTTTTTTCCATCTAAGTTCATGGACCCCCTGAAACCTATCCATGGACCCCACTCTAAAACCTCTGCATTAGACCAAGTACATTCGTGCACGAAAGATTCAGAGAATGAATCATCCCAATATCCAGTATCCAACAGGCTTTAAGTTCACACACCATAACTTTCCTTTGGCAAAAATTGATATAAACATAATTAGAATTCTGGAAAGTAAAATGCTATATAATATACTTTCTTCAAGAATCCATACACTGCCGCAGATCTTTGTTATAAAAATATGCAAGTATGAGTAAAAAAAGGAAGAGAAAGCAGCAGTAAGCTAGAAGAAAAAAAATCAGAGAGACAAACTAGAGTTTGCAACTGACTAAAGTTTTTCCACAAACAAAAATGACCTCAGTAAAGTGGGCTCTATAAACAGTTTTGAAGCTTCTCCGGAAATAGTAGGAAACAGAAATTGGTTGAAATTAATTCATGTGGACCTTGCTCAGAAAACTTGCTTGGCAGAATTCAGACAGGAATACAAGGCTGTCTTTGCTCAGCTCAGCATAAATCATGAGAGCTGAGTTTGAGAGCTGGACTTAGACAGACAAGAGTAAGATTCAAGTCCCTGTTCACACCTGAAGCTCACTGGATGACTCATTTTCAGCAGAATGCCTGTGGCACATGACTCTTTAGAAGTCAAAATGAGACAGATTCTGGACACCTTCGAGGACCATAAAGGTCGGTCTGTAGAACCAATACGGTGTTCCAAACACAGAAAATATGATGGAGTGAATCTAGTTCAGATAGCTTAGAATATTTATTTGCTGTATAATTCATGTTTTTACTCATATAAACATGGAAGGCAGCTTCCATTTAGAACAAAACTAGAATGCTTATAATAAAATCAATAAAATTAAATATAAATTAATGATCACAACCTTAGTGAAAGAAATATGCTTTACATTTGTTTTAAATACTGAGAGAATGAGGGCCAACCACACCTCTCTAAGGAGCACATTCCATAGCCTGAGAGACACATTAAGAGAAGGGGTGCTCCTGTGCACCCGACAGATGAGCCTCTGGCAATGGGTTTATCTTCAAAACGACCTCTCCTGCTGAACTAAATAATTGGGCAGGTTCATAGAAGGAGAGAGAGGCAATCCTTTAGCAAGTCAGCTCCTAAGCTATTTAGGGCTTAAAAGATCAGCATAAACATCTTAAACTGTGCTCAGCAGAAATCTGCAACCAGCCCGGATTCTTTGGTACAGGCATTATTTGATCGCTGTATTTTGTACCAGTTAAAAGTCTGGCTCTAGCATTTGTGGTGGTCACACATTTTTCAACAGTTGCAAATTCTTGAGAGTTTTCAAGAGTAATCACATGAAAAAGATGTTACAGCAGTCGAGATAGGATGTTATTAACACTTGGATAACCATCATTAAAGTCTGACCAGCTGATACAGATCAATATTGTTGCATTTACATAATTTGTGCAAAGGATGTTATAGACCGCAGCCTCTAGTTGTGCATCTAGTGACCGCGAAGGACCAAGGAGCCCTCTCAGACTATGGAGCTGCTCTTTCAGGGGGAGTGCAAACCTATCCAAACAGGTTTCACCACAATCCCACAATCCATTTTTACTTACCAACAGTACCTCCATCTTGTCTGGATTTACTTATAGCTTATTCACTCTCATTTAGCCCATTATAGAAATTACACAAGATTAAAGGGTACTGATTGCTAGAAATAAAATCATCTTTTTGCATAAGCACTATCTCAAACTCTTGTAAGCTATTAATATTTCACATATCAACTTATTTCTAGCTCTTTACTAAATATTTAGGGAGACAGTTGAATAATAAACATTTAGAGACATCAAGAGCAGTTTCACCCACTATGGATCACTTACATTTGCAGAAGTCAAAATGTGTTTATTTATTTATGATATTTTATGCCCTTTTTTTAACAACCAAGACAATGTACAGAAATACTAAAAACCCACCAATTATAGAGGAAAACAATGATTATGATTATGATTATGATTTGTATGCCCCCACATCTCATCTAAGCAGCTCTGGATGGCTCACAACAGGTAAAAACAATCTTTTAACAAGAAGTTAAAAACCAATATAGAAACATTTAAAAAACAGAAAATTATGATCAGTGGCAGAATTCATCCTACATCAGTTCAACACAGAGCTCCCCACCTTTGTGGGGCCCCCAGGCATGGTGGCAGAGCCATGTCTTCAGGGCGTCCCTAAAGGCTGGAAGGGTTGGGGTCAATCTAAGGTCCAGGGGGATGATGTTCCAAAGGGCAGATGCCACGGTAGAAAAGCCTCTCTTCCTGGGTTCCGCCAGATGACACTCTTTCATAGACGGGACCCTTAACATGCTTCTCCTGCTGGTTAAAGCTTATTAAAAGCTTAACCAATTTAAAAAGAAACCTTAAAAATCATGACCATGGGGAAAAAACAAACCACCAGAAACTCACCTTTATAATTTTTTCCACACCTGAGGAGCAGATCATGTAGGTATGGGGGTTAAATCGGACTTGGTTCACAATCGAACGGTGACCTTTCAGCACCATAAAGGCCCCATTAACCACTCTGCCAATCCCACCTGGAAAAAAAAAAGGTAGAATTGGGCTACTTTATATAAATTGGCTTGATTGTACTGCCAGTGGAATATGCCCTCTTAATATAAGCAGGCACTACAACATATAATAACCTTGAAAGTGACTGGTGCCATACCTCCATTATGAATTCAACTCCTCTCCCAATGGTATGCCATGGGAAATGACGAGATTTACATTTTCCAAGTCACATTCTGCCTCGTGGGTAGTGCCCCCATGTTATCCTTTGGAAACATTCAGAACCAACAGCCGCATTTATTACAGCAGTATAGTCAGGAGAAATGAGACACTAGATATTTGTAATTTGCTAAATTATGTAAATGCATAATTACATTATACAACAACCTCTGACAACTTTAGGGTCACGTTTACTTCCTTGAACAGACCATTTTATTCTATGTGTAAAAGAAAAGCTGTTATCTTACAATGTAAGATAACATTGCATAACATGCAAAAAAAATTAAAATTAGATTTGGTATTAAAGAGAGAGAGGCAGACAGACGGACAGAAGCCACTGCCATATGGGAGAAGCCTAATAGCCCTTCCCTGCTCGTGATACTAAGAACAGAGTACTAGAAGAACATGCTGTTGAAATTGTAAGGGGGGATGAGTTAAGCATGCTGGCCCTCCCCTCTTGTTGTTGAGAATACGGTTCTAGAAAAAGACACTGTTGAAATCAAGCAAACTAACAGGAGGTGCAAATAATGAGTGAGTGAGTATTTGATTCAAGGAATAGGGGTGCTCCTTGACTGGGGACTTGTTGCTTCTGGACTGGCCATGCTAACAGGCCTCTCTGGCTTTTATGTTGTACATTGCTTAATTTTACTTGATTTAATTAGTAGGTTTTATAGATCTACTTTTCATTGTAAAGTACTGTAGTTACCTGTTTGGTATTCCACTATTCCCTTAAAAGTTAGTGCACCCCAGGTTTTAATGGGTCTATTCTGTACTTCTGTATATTCTAATTCAACTGGTATTCCTTTATTATATTTATTATTATTGATGATCATGCAACCCTGTCTTTGCTTGCTGTCCTCCATGTGTAACAGGTGAGTATCAGCAGTGGAGAGCCTCTATTAAGGAGGAAGAATACTCAAGTAAGTGGAGAATCTTTATGGATCTGTTCTCCATTACAGAAGCTCAGCCTCCATGTATATGTCACTGGTTAGTCTAAAAAACCAAGACTATTGTTTTTATTACATTTGTGTGATTTCTTGACCGAAATCTGTGCATAGATACTACCATTATAGATACATTCTATATTTATGTATAGGTATCATGCCTGTACAGTTGAAAGGCAGGTTCTTTCTTTTTAAGTAAAAACATAATGTAAAGTACAGCTAAGAAATGAAGTTGGTTTCTTTTATGAATTTATTAGCTGGCTTGAACAACCCATTCTCAACCTACTACCTACAAAATGGATGATTGTCTTTCTAGCTTACAACAGGGTTTTCACACTAACAAGATAAAATATGAGAAAAGTTATGAACACCAGAATACTGCATTATAGTATCAGTCCCATTGGAATCTTGTGAAAACTGCATGGAAACCCAAACATTCATCCCTGCCAAAGTGAGTGGGGATAAGGGAAGAGAAGAAAAAAACCTCTGCAGAAAGAAATTAAAACAAGTTCCAGAATGTTGGTGACTGGTTCAATAATGAGGCCACAATAGGGAATAGCATATTTCTGTCGGTATTTCAGATTAAGTGGTTGAAACTGAGAAGACTTTTGAACACAGTATGAAACTTAAATTTGCAAGGGAGACCTTGAAACGTCTGACACTGTTTCCAGTTATGGATCATCAGTAAGCAAAAAGTATGGAAACGCAAGAAGCACAAAAGAAAACCCAGGCAGATATAAATGTAGTGGGTAGGTACTAAGATGGCAACGTATCCTGCATTACAGAGAACAGTACTCTATATGGAAACATCCTCTGTGGTATTGAAGAGTCATATTAATCTTCTTTCAATATAAAGAACTGTAAGAAGGGAAAACAAGGCCCCTGAAGGATTCCAGCAACAGTCTGCATTTGGACATATAGGTCACCTGATCAAAATCTTCTTCAGTACTGTGAGAGATACTGTATGTCCTTCTAAATTTGTATTTAAACATATAGTTAGCAAAAGAAAATGCCACAAGAAACTCTTGACTGTAAAAAAATTACTTGTTTCAAGTTTTTAAAATGTTGCTGTCACAAACCCAGATTATTTGCAGTTAAGTATGACATAATGTTATTTGCTCAGTCTGATTAATATTTCAAAGAAAAATAAAGCTTTGTTGTGGGTGAGGGGGTGGATTTTTATCTTTTTATCTCAAAACTACCTTGGATATTATTAGCATGTTGCTTCCTCATAGTACAAAAAGCATATCAAATGGGACAATCCGTTTGGCTCAACTGATGTTTAATAGTAGATTAAGAATCTGTTAAAACAAAAACAAGTCCAAACAAACCGCAGATTGTGGGGATGCTATTTTGACTGTGGAAGTTAAAAGAGGAAAGTAAAATATACCATCTGTCTTTTAAAGGAACTCCATTCCTGTGACTACATTTCAGATTAACAAATTACCCTCCTTCCACCAGCACGGTCAGGTAGTTTTCTTACTGATCTTCCATGTTATGCATTAATTCCAAAATACAACATTTCTTATTGGGAATAAGAATAAGGTCACCAGATTCCATACAAAAACTCACCAGCTTCAGGATCTGGAGGAATTCTCCACATGTATAAATTGAAGTCATCAGACCCCGAGAGAATGTACTATTAGAAACCAAAATATTATAAGTTACAAGAAGAGGACTATTAAAATACATGTGAAAGAATAATATAATTTGGTTACATAACACAGTTAATGTATGTTCTATGCTCCAGTGAATTAATATTGTTAAGATGATGACAGATTAAACACTGAAAATATAAAGACTAGGTACCTACAAAAAGATTACAATCCTATGTATGCACAGTGATTTAGAAGTGCCACTGAAATTATGGGAATGCCTCCCTAAATGTTGTATTTATTCTTTGGGTATTCTTTATCATTCTTTTACTTGTGTAAGAATTTTTCATATGCTACAGGTTATATGTATAAAAATCTATTATACATTTCTAATTCCCAGGAAGAATTATAGCTCAGTGACAAAGTAAATACTTTGTCTTAAAACGATTCCAGGTTTGTAGGCAAGCTAAGAGTGCCTGTAATTTTCAACTACAGTTACTGTAGACCTGTATTTCTGAAACTTGACAACTTTAAGATGTGTGGATTTATTTCTGAAACTTGACAACTTAAGATGTGTGTATTTCTGAAACTTGACAACTTTAAGATGTATGGACTTCATTTCTGAATTTCTGAAACTTGACAACTTTAAGAAGTGTGGACTTCAACATGCTGGTTGGGGAATTCTGGGAGCTGAAGTCCACACATCTTAAAGTTGTCAAGGTTCAGAAACAGTGCTATAGAGTGATTACAGATCTAATGATCTGACAGGCTCATGAAAAACAACTTCCTATTGTTCCTTCTATTACATCCAAATTATATAATTATATGTTGTTGTTTTTTTACCATTGCTGCATTCATTTTTTTACAGAAACAGAGCTGTCTCAACACATTTTACAGCCCATCATGACTATATTATCAGATGTAATAGATCTACTTCAGAATTTAATGCTGTGTTACATAAAAGCCAGAGGCACACTTCTCATAGGATACAAGAATTATAGTCAATAATGCTGCATGATGCCTAGTGGTGAACTTGACATATCCTTCAGCTTTTCACCCATATTGGTAAAATTATTATTGGCCCAAGCAGGCACTTTGGTTGCCTCTGCAATGGTGAAACCTTATATAGAATATGGACTGAAAAGTTACTGCAGATGTTCCCTTTTGATGGCGTGTCTGCTCAGCAAAACTGGAGACTTACTTCTTCTGTTTGCAACCTTTTGAAAATATCTGGTTTTTACAATCTTTAACTGGTGCAAACAACTAATTTTACATATTTTTGTAGAATTTAAAAATCTTATGACATATAAAAAAACCCAGTACAACTAGTTGTAAAACCAATGCAGTCTGGTTTTTTAAAAAATTAGGATATCTTTGTTGAAACACTTAATTTTTATGCAAAGCTTTCCCCCAAATTCTCTCACTCTACACTCTCTGAATAAAAGGTTATCAGGTCCTTGATACCCATAATTTCTTTAAATGACTGGTCTGCTTAACAGAAAAAAGAAAAGAAAATGCACAATTGCACTTACAGATGAAGAATTTGCAAACATTGCAGAACTATGAAACTGCTAACATACTAGATATTTACTGCTTCAACAGAAAATTAAACAGTATTAAACTGTAGTCTAATATAGAGCTGTAATACTTTATTCAATAAGCTAATCCTCTCTGGAAAAAAAGAGTTAGTTTTTACCCCCAACATTGTCAAAATTTAAAGCCAAGGCTGCCCCCACCTTTATTAGATTTATCAAACACACTGATTATTCTCTTTCAAGTACAATTTTAGATTTTTTTGTAAGAGGAACGCTTTTTCTGCAAGAACTGTGTAAATGGGGTAATGGATAAATAACACCAAAGTAACTTTGAAGAAATGCTGCCAGGACAATCTCTTGGTGCAATAATGTCCAGAATCTGGTAGCAGGGAGTGAACTAGCTAGACTAGTGTTTCTCAACCTTGGCCACTTTAAGATGTGTGGATTTCAACTCCCAGAATTCCCCAGCCAGCCATGGCTGG